AATAAGTTTGGCCCAACTCATAGCCACGGACATGCCTTAGGCCTGGTGTTCACCTCTATGGATGTGGGTGATCTGAAACTAAACAAAAGTGAAACAAAAGAAGTGTCATGGTTGGATCACTTCCTGGTGCAACTGAACTTCTCCACAACCCTTCCCCTCTGCAGGGAAGTGAGACCAATTTGGATGATCCGCCCCTACCACTTAATGGAACCAAATGGTTTCCAGACAGTAGTAGGGGGTGTTTTATCCCATGTTGATGGCCTTTCAGTTGATTCCCTGGTGGCCCTCTGGAATGCGGAGCTAACCAGGGCTATTAACTGTCTGGCTCTGAAGCACTCTCTCCATGGAGCCTGGATGGCCCTGCGGATTTCCCCAGAGCTGAGGGTGATGAAACATAGCTGAGACGGCTAGAGCACCAATGAAGGAAAACTCATTCTGAATTGGACCGAACACAGAATAAGAGCTCAACATCGAGCCTACCAAGTGGCGAAAGTGACAGTGAAGAGGACCTAAAGGATCTTCATTGGCTCCCAGTGCATTTCTGAGCACAATTCAAAGTGTTGATGCTGACCTTTAAAACCCTAAATGTCCTCGACCCAACATACCTGAAGGAGCATCTCTGTTAGTTTCTGCTTTCCTTCACTGTGCAGCGAAAGGGCTTGTCACGAGACAGGTGTTTACATTCCACAGTCTGTACTGTTGGAGTTTCTCACGGGAAAGGGAGACTGGATGTGACGTACACTGGTTTCCTGTTTTTCACTGTGTGATTCTCTCCAAGCTGTCGAGGAGAGAGGATGCTTTTCCTGCTCCGGCAGAGGCAAGATGTCTTTCTGTAATATACTAGCTTTGAACTGTAAATAAAGCAATATAGAGTATGTAGTACGTACTCCTCATCCTTCCGCTGGGTACGGGACTCTGCTTTAAACCAACAATCTCCTCCCCCATTGTTCAACCCTAACACTGAGGTTCTCCTTCAGGCGTCTTCTGCTGGTTCCCTCACTGCGAGCAGCAAGGTTACAAGGAACCAGGCAGAGGGCCTTCTCGGTAGTGGCACCCTCCCTCTGAAACACCCTCCCTTCAGATGTCAAGGAAATAAACAATTATCTGACTTTTAGAAGACATCTGAAGGCAGCCCTGTATCGGGAAGTTTTTAATGTTTGATGTGTTAGTATGTTCTGATATATGCTGTGAGCCGCCCAGAGTGGTTGGGGAAACCCAGCCAGATGGGTGGGGTATAATCATCAGCATCAATAACATCTACCACTTATATATTTCAAAATCTTGGCAAGAATATGAAAGACATTGAATTAAATTTTCTGCTGATGTACATTACTCTAGCTTCACAGAGTGAGTTACAGATAGGTAGCCGTGTTGGTCTGCCATAGTCAAAACAAAACAAAATTCCTTCCAGGAGCACCTTAAAGACCAACTAAGTTAGTTCTTGGTATGAGCTTTCGTGTGTATCTGAAGAAGTGTGCATGCACACGAAAGCTCATACCAAGAACTAACTTAGTTGGTCTTTAAGGTGCTACTGGAAGGAATTTTTTTTTGTTTTCACAGAGTGAGTTTTCCTTTGCTAGCCTCTGATTCAGTTTCTACAAGACATTTAGAAACACAGGAGGATCACCCTACTTACATAGCCCAGTAAGGGCTAACTCTTTCATCACAAATGACAGGCTCATTCCACTACAAAATCTGACCTAGAATGAAGAGGAAATGTCAGTTTAAACTAATGGGATTTGGAAGAGGAGCCCTACAGTTTTCATCCTCTTAAGTGTTCAAAATGCTCTTCTCTTAACAAGTGTGGAATTAACCTAGAAGGGTGGTGACGGTGAAGCAGTAAGATGAAGGTAAATTGTGCAGTGAGTGTATGTGTCTGTCAGAAAGACGGACTTTTATGATACAAGTGCATATGCACCCGCACCCATGGAAAATGAAATACATAAATGCTTGTAAGCCAAATGTACCTCATATAGGATTTGGAAAGTTACTGGATGTATGAAATCCCTTTAAGATCTTTTGCCAGCCTTACTGAAATTCTGCTGACTTCTTGCAGATTTCTTCATAACGTTTGTTATGAATCACCTGCATTAGCTTTGAATTTTACTTTGGACAAAATTTTGGTGCCAACTTTTTACTGACATTCCTAGCAATTCCTTGAAATAAATGTTGGCAATAACAGTTGCTAGAACTATATTGTGGTATTTTTTGGAATGTTACACTTTACCTGAATCTGCTGGTGTTGTCACAGCTTTTAAGAGAGAAATCAGGAGCACAGAAATTCCTTTTAAAAAACGGAAGAGATCCTACATGGCAAGGAAACAGCAGTAGTGCAAATGGGTATTGCAGCTGTCTGATTTCTCCAGCATAGCTAAACATCAGTACACAGCCATGTAGTTCACACCGGTGTGATGTACAAGACAAAGCCAATGCATAATTATTTCTTTAAATGTTCTTGGGCAATGAGCATCAAAAATCACCATTAAATGAGACAGGATAAAAGTATTATCAGTACATAGCAATAGATATATTGCCTTCAACCAAGTGTTATATTGCTGATATCAGAGTAAACATTTTACCTCTTTTCAAAGGGATAGAAAGTATGTGTAAAGAGGTCAGGCAATTTTTCTGACCTCCTGAGAATCAATGGAGAATCAATTCCACAGCTGGAGACAAAAAATGTGAAAGAAACAGAAGCAGGCAGGTTTTAAAAACAAATAACAAGCACCAATTCCACAAATATCTGGATTACTTTAAAATTTGCTGTTCAGGAACCCTGAATATATTTCATAATATGAAGTAATGTAATCGGGTATCTTCTGCATTTTTTTATATAAAAAAGGAAATGTGGCATTGGTGATGTGTCAAGTAGGCAAGGCACAACTGGATTGCCCATTCCTGGTATTCTCTACCTATTCTCTCTTTTGTAAGTGGCTTTCATGGATACTGTAGTTGACTAAGGAATACTATCTCTGTGTCGTTTCCATAGGAACATCCTCCTGTGGGACCAGAAGCCTGTTTTATTATTGATCACTGAGAGCTGCCTTATCAACCTTTTTTGGTTATAGAGCAGCAGCAACTTACTCCTATAGAGGGTATGAACTGTGACTTTGCTCTAAATTGCTCCATTGGTTGCTTTAAAAACAGATTTTCAAACATTGTTTCAGGATATCCAAACTTAGCTGCGGAAAAGTTTGTATGACTAGACACACTGGGTAGCATTTACATGGGGCACTGATATGGCTAGTTGGGCTTCACTGTTACTCCACAGGAACTGGATTTTAGGAAGCCTGGTGGTGATGGGCAATAGTCTTTCAAGGAAGTCTGTCCATCATTACTGATATTGTCACTGTGGAATCCCCAACACACTTTGAAATACTCTGAGGCACAACAAAAAATGAACATACTATAATCTTTTCTACATCCTGATGTTGAAAAAATTGTAAGACAGATGAAGTGAAAGGAACCAGGCTCATCTGAGCCCATTCTTTAAAACCAGTTAGGTGCAACTTCATTATCAAACCAATGTACTTGACGCCAGAAGTAATGAATGGCTCTGCAGGGTTAGCAACTTCTGTGATGCAATAACTACATTTGTAATTACTAGTTTTACGTCATCATCCCTCCTCTACCTTAATTAAGTTTGCTTTACCCTTAATCTGGCCCTTTGCACAGAGGTGGAGAGCACTTGCTCCTAGCGGATTTCCTTATTGAAAATGTTAACATCAAAAGCAGCTCATTTAATTGATGTAAAAGTGTGTGAAGGCACCAGCTAATCCAACAGGCAGAAAGAACATTTCTTCTCTTCCCTCAAAACATGTTTAGAAGTGTAGCACTAATCCACTTCCCTTTGTTTCACAATTTCTTCCATTTGGACTGTGACTTCTAGGCACAGGTCCAAGAGGTTTTATATTTTGTCCCACTTCCCCTGGGAAAACCCAGCTTGCCACTGTAGAAGAGGAGGAGTTTGGATTTGATACCCCACTTTATCACTACCAGAAGGAGTCTCAAAGCGGCTAACATTCTCCTTTCCCTTCTTCCCCCACCGTATCACAACAAACGTCAACTTGCAGAAAACCCAATCAACAGTTGACAGTAAACAGTAGGACACGGACCAAACGGAAATGTAGAAAAGCCCAACATTTAATTGCTCATTGTGGAAGAGATGAGGACTTTGTTTCAACAGGCTTTGGGGAACTGACTGCTTTTAATGAAAGGGCTGGTGTCATGCTTTTTATTGTAACTATTTGCATGGTTTTAACAGAATTAAATCTATCTATCTATAATCTACCGATGTTTAATTGCTTTTTTCTACATTTTTAGTGGTTTCTTCTTCAGTGATCTTTAAGGTGCCTTGAGTCCCATCAGGGAACAGGAAGGGGTATAAATTAATATATAATAACAACATACCACCCTAATGTTTTTAATGCTTTTAATGTTTAAAGCAGTCGCGTCATGTGGGCTATTTAAATCAGGGCCACCCCACTGCTTATCAAAGGAACACCATCTATCCTGTTTTCCTCGCACAGAAAGGCAGACTCTCAGGGCCAGCCCAAACTGCTGTTTCATGACACCCCAGATTTGCTGCCTCCTTGGGGTAGCTTCGCCTGCAGGCCCAACGACGGGGCCGGCCCTGCAGAAGCCTTCCCACCCCGCTAACCCTCCAGGACACGCGGGAAAAACGTCCTCCTATGCCTAGGGCGCCGGCAATTCAGGACGCCGGTCGGCTCGCCGTCCCCTTCCCCGGGCTCCTCCGGGAAGCCGCCCCTTCCTTGGCTGAAGCGAGCCGGAGAAGGCGAGCAGCGCCGCACCGAGAAACAACATCGCTCCACCCGCCGCCACTTCTACTAGCCCACTTGCCGAAGAAACATGGAGTCACACGTGAGGCTTATGCAACTCGAGTGGCGTCCGCCGCGGCCAATGGAGGCTCCCCGAGCGGCGGCGCGGCCCACCCGGTATGCAGATATGGCTTCGCCTCAGCCAATCCCCGCCCGCCCGAGCGGGCTCCCTCAGGCACGGTCACGTTTCTGACGGTATGAAGCCCGGAGTTTGCCGGGCTGTGAGGGGGCCGCTTCCCGGGGAAGGAAGAGGCGGCGGCGGCGGCGAGTGAGCCGTTGAGGGGAGAAACGAGGGAAGGGGTGGGCGAAGGAAGGACTGCCGGCCGCTCCCGTCCTTCTCCCCGGCCCCGTTTCCCGCCCCCGCGGAGCCCTTTCGAGGCAGGCAGCGTCACTCGTTGTATAACCGGCGGCTTCCGCAGGCGGGTCTGCCGCTCCTCGCGCCCGCCGCCACCACAGGGGCGCGGGAGCCTCGGTCAGGGTAAGCAAGCTTCGCTGGTGGTGTTTGCGGGGCGGGGAGGCCTGGCCTTTTCCCTGCCGGTCACACCCCCTTCCTGCGGGAGGAAAAGGGCGGCGGGAAGGGGGCAGCGCCGGTGGAGCCGAGGCTGCTTTTGTGCGCGGGAGAAAATGCCTGGGTTGGGTTGGTTTCGTGGGGGGGGGGTCTCCTGCCTGTGTATCGGTGGGATGGAGGGGCTTAACTAATCTGAACCAGGAGGAGGTTCCCACGTTTCCTCTTCTGAGGCGTTTCGTTGTGTGGCAGTGGGGGGGGGTCGTCTTTCTTTTCTCTTTTTTAAATGGGATTCAAGGAAACGAGGTGCTTGGGCATGAAAAGCGGCGGTATGAATTACAGCAGGTAATGTAGCTGCGTGGCTTTTGCGACCCCCGGTGAAGGCGTGGGGGGGGGGGCGGCGGCGGCGGCAGCCGAAGGACACGTGGGGGTCGGGATGCAGCGGAAGTTTTAAAGAAGTGGCCTAGCGCGTGCCTGGGTTGTGTAAGTGCGCTACTAATAATAAGGCTGCACTCCTCCTGAAATGCACGCACCGGAGCGAGCCCCTTGGAGCGCCAACTGGAATAAAATATTGGGGGGGGGAGGGCAGGTGAGCCCCGCCCCGCATAATCGATCACATGACGTGGTGCGCGAACAGTATTTGAATGACTATGCCCATCAACTTGTGGAGGGGGCGGCCCCGTCAAATATTTTATGGGGGGGGGAGGCTCCTTGGAGTTGATTCCCATGGGGGGTTGTAAGTGACTGACACTACCCGATCGCTTAGGCCACCGCTGGGTCACTGGGCTGCTTTCCGTCTGTCAGTCGTGGCCAAACTCTGCGTAGGCTCCGTTGAAGGCAGTACTACACGCTTTGTACGTTTGGGGGGGCGGGAGGCGAGCTGTCAGGTAAGCTGCGCAAGGGTTGCCAGGGTGGCTTTCTCTAATCCTTTGAGCCTAGCGTTAGGTGGTAGGATAGAATAATGGTTTACACTTAATGCTTCACTTGCGCTTTCAGTGAGCCAAGATGTGTTTTTAATTCTAGGTGCTGTAAACTTTCCCCGTTGGCTGGTTGCATGCCTTGTTAATTTTGTACGGTCCCCACTCGCCTCCGCCTCCCAAGTTCATTGCAGAATGATGTGATGTAACTGAAATTAGTTGTGTCTTGAGCAACAAGTCCCTAGGTTTATGATTGATTATGCAAATGTTTGCTGATGCTGAATGGCTATCATTTTAGATAGTGGTTAAATTGGTCTGGATTTTTAATACTTTTGTAGATTACAAAAGTGATACAGTATTTCGTCTTTTAGTACTCCTCTGGTAAATTCAGAGTAGTACACCTGCTTTATTCATAGATAGTGTATGGGCAGCATAAGTAAATGGGCATTGTTGAGAAGGAATGGCAAGTTACATTTTTTGCTTTCTCAAAAGACTTTATAATTTTGCTTTTTTAAACTAGTTTGGATAGTAAACTTTCATGTCACTCTCATCCTTAAAATATTAAAACATCCTGATACTAGTATATGTGCAGCAGTATAGTACTTCAAGAAATACTGCATCGAGTAATTCTCTTTGGTTTGGGATTTCAGAATGTTATTTGCAAGGAAAACACCTGCTGCAGCCTTTCCCAGTGATGTAAAATACCTTTAAGAACCTGTACTGTAGTCTAATCCTATACAGAAGTAATTTTCACCTTATTGATAAGGCTTTTCCACAAGTAGATGTGCATAGGATTGGAGCTCTAATTGATACATCATTTATAGCAGTTGATAGGTGGAGTTGATTAGTAGTTGAAACTAGGTGAGATGTTTTTATCAGAAGTGATATTTCAAGTTTCTGCTGTGTTCCTTTAAGCAGGTGTGCTGTTTGTGTGCCTCTGACACAGTCATTTATGTAACTGTACTTGTGGCCTGGAATTACAAGGAAGAACCTTGCTGCTTTTTATGAAACACAGGAGTGGAATTTTGAAAGCTCTTTAGTAGTAGAAAGACAAACGTGGAACTGGAAACTTTTAAGATGGTGGTCAGCTCTAGTACAAAATGGGGAGCAAATGATGGACATTTGGGCTGAACAAAACTTATTCTGTTAAAGACTAGGTGATATTTTCAGCAACTTCAGTATGACATCTTATCTATTTTTGTTGGCAATTCTTCTGTTCCTTTCTCCCAGTGCTCTTATTTTTTCCCTACCCGCTATACTTTGGGATTCATATATCCTGAATCAAAAAGAGGCAATCATGTCATGCTCTGCAATAGAGGTTCTCAGGCTGTGATCTACGAGGTCCATTCAAGTGGCCCATGGCAAGGTGGCAGAGTACTTGAGAATATCTGTACTTGGCCCTGTACTTGATTGATTTTTTCTGATGATGGAATTGAAGCTGTTCTGACCAGTGTTGGATTTTCATACAGGCTAACAAGGCCCTGGCCTGAGGCTTGTGGTTTTCATAATAAACCACTGGTGCAGTCTACTATTCCCCCCCCCCATTGATTTCCCATTAAAAGCCTGCTAGTTAGAGGTCCTTTTCAGTTGCCTGACTTAGGACTCATGATTTATTATTATTTTTGTAATTCAGAGTTGATTTTAACAATGATGTTGGTTCTGAAAGGCAGTGAAAGTTACTTTATCATTGCTTCCCCAATTGTCAGAAGATAGTGAACCATAAGAGGACCCAGATTTTTTTAATGAAAACTTTGGTCAAATGCTGTTTGAAAGTCCATGACTAGAATGTCTGCCAAATAATTCTACCATCCACATGCTTGTTGACACTGGCAAAGAACTGAAAAGTTTGGTGAGGCAGGACTATGCTTTGCAAAATCCATGCTGATTCTTCTTTTTTGTGAGGTTTGTTCTGCTATATGTGTATGCACTCTGTGTGTGTGTGTGTGTGTGTGTGTGTGTGTTTATGTGTGTGTTTATGTGTGTATATATATATAATCTTTAAGCTAATTTGCCTGTCGTTTCCAAGACATTCTGTCTTGTGACTTTCCAATTCTTAGTTTTGTTGCCAAGTCTGAGTATTTCATCGGTTGTCACTGTTCCACTCTGCTCTTCAGATACCATTCCTGAAATAATGACTTTGAATTGTATCTTCTGCAGAGAAGACAGATGCACATAACTCATTCAACTTCTCTGCAGTGTCCCTTATCCTTAATCAGTTTTTTCTCTCCCTAGTTTCCCACTCTTATCGTATTTAAATGTGTTGGCCTTAATGTATAGAACACTTGCTTTCTCAGTTTTGACAGAATTTGTGGAGCCCTCTTGTTTCGTCATTGGACAAGACTTTACACTGAAATCCAATATAATTAAGGGGTTAAAGTGTCAGATTCGGGGCAGGTCAAATAACATCTTTAATTTACCTTTTCAGCTTCCTTTTATGAAAACCCTTACCTCATTTGTAAGAATGGTTCTCTTTTGAAAACAAATGTTACAATATTGGTGTTTCTTGACAGCTTTTCATTTAAACATACATTGAACATACAGAAGCATATGATAGAAAGGACAAGTAGAGGATTGGTCATAGACCTATTTGTGTGCAAAGATGATTTTAGTAACAAATGTAGCTTGCTCATAGCTGAGTCAGTGAAAACATTTTGTCATTAAGCTATTATGTAAACACATGGCACATAGCTATGACAGACTGGTTTTCATTGCCAAAAAGGCCTAGTTACTAAGTAACATAGCAACAAGCAAATTAATTCTTATAGTATCTGTAGTGAGAATCTGGAGATGGTTATGAGATGGAAATATGTGTCTGCTGTTGAAGACTATTGGCAAACTGTGAGTGCAGTTCTGTTTACCAGCATTTGCTGACCTGGTTCCCCCCAGGTATTTTAGATTAAAACTCACTTCAGCCCCAGCTAGTAAGGTTGTGCATGAGTTGTAGTACAAAACATCTGGAGGGGTCCAGGTTGGCAAAAGCTGCCATACCCACTTACCTGGAGGAAAGCTCTTTTGAACTCAATGGGACCTATTTCTGAGCAAACATGCACAGCTTTGCACTGTCAGTTAATGATGGTTATAATGAACAGTACAGTGGAACCCTGTGTTACATACCATCCTCATTACAAATGCTTCAGGTTTCTAGCTCCACTAACCCGGAAATAGATGCTCCCGGTTGCGAACTTTGCCCCGGGATGCAAGTGGAAGTTGCATGCTGGTGGCGCGGCAGGAGTGGGAGGTGCCATTAGCGAAAGTGCGCCTCATGTTCAGAACTGTTTCGGGTTACACACGGACCTCCAGAACGAATTAAGTTTGTAACCGGAGGTACCACTGTACGTGGTAGGGATGCAACCTTTGTTCTTAGGTATAACTGGGGGCAATTTAACAGATCTGTTACATCTCCACTTTATTTCTCTTGAGGAATGCAAATAAAAATGGTGGAACCATTTGAAGTTTAGAAAAGTTTAGTTTTTCTTGATTAAGCAGGAAATGGCATTAGGATATTAACTTGCATTAAATGCTTGATGTTGCAAACCTGACTAGGAGACTTGGATTTTCAGGAGAGAGGTGCTTGATCTGTTCCTACAAGAGGTATGAATGCCTCTATATAAAAAAGTGGCATGTTAAAATGTTAGCCATGCCTGAATGTACCATGATCACTCTTCTTCCTAAAAAACAAATGTTGATGCATTAATTTCTAATATGCATCTTCCTTATTTACCGGTAAATCCCTGTCCCAGTAACTGGAACAAATATGGTTATGTTGTAAGGCTTGGCTGGAGGCAGTGTGTTATTTCTGAGTTTTAGCTGGAAGCATGTAGTGGTCAGCACTTTTCTAGTATAAGGTGCTGGTTAGTTGCCAATTTCATAGTTGCACTGTGGTGTTAAGAAAGCAAATGTGTTGCATATAATGGTCCATATTTTATTTGAATTGACCTGTGGGAGTGATTGAAAATAAATAAATCTACACCTGTTACTATAACAGAAAGTCGTCAACAGGTTTACCACATCTATCAGCAAATCACCCATTCCCACCACCCTTCTGAGTAATACCCCTCCCCACCCTCCCACTATATACAAGGGTCTGGTGACTTCTGTTTCAGTGTATCTGAAGAAGTGTGCATGCACACGAAAGCTCATACCAATAACAAACTTAGTTGGTTTCTAAGGTTCTATTGGAAGGAATTTTTTTTTGAAAGTTTGGATTTTTTCATTGCAAAAACTGCCAATTTACAACTGTCTTTGTTAATGCTACAGGTGCGAGTTCTGCTCTTCTAAAGAACCGTTTGACTGACTCGAAGCCCGTTAAAAAGGTGTGTCCCCTAAAGCAGGTGCTTGGTATGTTTTCAATCTTTAAAATCCTTAATTCTTAATTTACTATAATAAGAACACCCCCACACACATACACCTGATACCTTGGTGACTGAGTAGTTTAGTGGAACTCACATCCTCTTAAAGTATGCTTAGGAATTAGTCTAAATGTTTTGAATTTTTTGTTTAATGAAAAAGTTTTCATGTATTGTAAATTTTTTCTAATTTCTTGGTTTTATCTTTTTGGAAACCGCTTTGATTTTTTTTACGATCAAGTGGTGTATAAATTTTATTAAATAAATAAAATAATATTTAAAAATTGCTAGTGTGTGTGTTTTGGGGGGAATAAGTACTTTCCTTTGTAAATACCACACTGGTCTTAAAATGCTATCTGCTCTTGAGCAGATACATTAATTCTGTATCTGTTAGAAACTATTTTATAGTGTAACATTTTTTGGATTTCATGGGTACTTCTGTATAAACCTAGTTTAAGTTGTAATGCTTTCCCCCCCTTCTCATACCTTTTGTTCCAGAGTTATTAAATACATCAAGAGGTTGCTTGGAAAAATCCACTTGTCAGTGAAAAATCTAATTGCAAACTATGAAGGTCTAAGGACAATCAGATCTTAGTGCTCTTTTGTAAATGAAAGGCTAAATAGTTATTTGTTACAGGGTTGGCATAACAGACCATCTTTGTCATTTATGTGCTTCCAAAATATTTGTAGAGAACATCATTGGGGTGGGATTCCAGGTATTTCTCTTATATTTTATAGTTCTAGAGGTGTCCGGATCCTAATGGCTGAGAATTAACATTAGAAGAGGAAGAAACAAGGTTTAAGTGCATTGCATTCTGGACCTAGGTTGTGCTTTTTGATGCTAGCTGGGAGGGACCGTGATGTATGGTACATTTATGCCAACCTTTCTTTTTAAAATATAAGGTAAGGCATGACAGTTGTCTTTCATGATGTGATCCCAGTAGCTGACCATATCTCTCAATATAGATTTATGGCTCTGCAAATACTTATATCCAATTATTTGCTTATTCCCTCTTGTTACTTGCTGCTATTTTGTTCAAGGCTGTTTCTTGGTATAAGAGGAATAGTACAGTAAGTTTCATAATAGAAAGTATCCAAGTATGGCTAGCAGTAGTAATGTAGTTTAAAAAGGTAAAGGACTCCTGACAGTTAAGTCCAGTCGCGAACAACTCTGGGGTTGCGGTGCTCATCTTGCTTTACTGGCCGAGGAAGCCAGCGTACAACTTCCAGGTCATGTGGCTAGCATGACTAAGCCGCTTCTGGCGAAACCAGAGCAGTGCACAGAAATGCCATTTACCTTCCCGCCAGAGCAGTACCTATTTATCTACTTGCACTTTGACGTGCTTTCGAACTGCAAGGTTGGCAGGAGTTTAGCTTGTAGTTGGCATGTAGTTTAGCAGTGCCCATAAAGTGCAATTCCTCTTTCAACCAAAACAAATTATCTTGCATGCATCTCTAGATAATTGGGAAGAAGAGTGTTGCATGTTTGTGAAAGCTTGGGTCAAGATGTAAAATGTCTAGAAAATTCAGTTAGGGTATATAAACCTTTGGTTCATCAGGGTTATATTGTCTCCTAAATGAGACTAACTCTGAAAGCGCTTTTGGACAATTTCTCTAACCTTCCATCATTTATATAGAAATGGTGAACCAGAAAATCTAAAGTGATTATGTACCATATGACCTGCAACAATATACTAATTTTGTTAATACAACCAGAATATTAACACATTTTTCCACAATTAATATTTATGGGGTTAGATGCAAACTATGTTGTATACATTTAAGATCTGCTGACTTCAGTGGTACCAAAGTGTGACTAACTTCATCTAGATTCAGCCAGTAGTTCTTTGCATGCTCATTCAACAAATGTTTTTCTTCCTCCTAGGTGAACTCAGATGTAAAATTTGAAAATGCTGAATACTGATAACAAAGATGGCTTTAAAAATATCAGAACTGTACGGCAGCTTATGCTAAGTACAGGTGTTCTGTTCTATAACGGAGGAGCTGGATTCTGAACTATATGAAACAATTTGAATTCTTTGAGAATATTTTATAACAGTCATTGACCCTGAAGTTCTTTGCTCAAAATGAGTGACTATTTGGAAATGGCAAATGCAGAAAACATGGATATTCAAATGAAGAACGAACAGAATTTGGAAGCCCTTCAGGAAGACATTGAAATGAATGGTGGATCCAGTGCAAATGATGCAAGTGAAAATTACTCCAGTGGGCATGATTCACATAGCAATGAGGGTGAAGAAAATGGGAAAGAAGCAACTATGATTATGGAATCTTTAGACTGCTATAAAAGGTAGTGATGCTACATAGTAGTTTTGGTTGTATGAATGAATTAGAGAGAGAGAGAGAGAGAGAGAGAGAGAGAGAGAGAGAATGTATATGTAACTTGCACTAATGTAGCTACAAAATCATCCAATATGGTGCCTTGGATATGCCCCACTCATCAGTCATTTATATGGAGATACTGAGAGTGTTGGTAGTTTTTAAGTCCTAACTTGAAATGTAACATGCTCACATCTTATGAGGGGGTTCGGTTCCAAGGGTAAAGTGTATATGCAAAAGTCACCTATAGTCAAAAGCATGCTTCCCTTGGAGCTGGGCTGCCACGAACAGTGAAGAGGGACCAGAGTCAGCATGCTGAACAGAAAGCAAGGCCAGAGTTTGAATGTTCTTTTCACTCTGTGTCCTCTTGGGTTACCAGGCACCAAAATAACTTTTAAGCTCTCTACCTTGCTTCTAAGGCAAGGCCTGCTTGATGTGCTGGCTCTGGGACGAGTAGGGATGCTGTCATGAGATCTCACAGGAAGTCAGACTGACCTGTGAAATCCCACGAGGGCATCCCTACTACATTAAGAATAGGGCTTCTACTACGAGTATTGTGTTGCACTAACAGCTGCTGCAGTTGGATCTCACCCATTGAAATAAAGAGACCTAAATTAGTCTTGTCCATTAATTCCATTGGGTCTTCTCTCAAGTAATCTCTTTTATATTAAATAACAGTAAATTAAGAATGATCATACCACACATCTTTTAGATCATTATATGAACAAACACTCCATGTAAGGAAGAAATAATTATAAATCTCAATAGTCTTAAGAGCAATGTATACCCAGTCTGCATCCAATTAATCATTTTGCTCTCTTAAGTAATAAACATTAAGAACTTGGGCTTTGCAGAATACAAAGCTACATTTCAACCAGAATTGTTTTTGTTCATGTTGTCTAGCAGCGAACTACCATCTAAATCTAAAACCCAGAAGGAACTAATAAAAACATTGCAGGAATTAAAAGGGCATCTTCCTCCTGATAAAAGGATCAAAGACAAACCTAGTATCCTGGCTACGCTGAAGTATGCACTTGGAAGCATTAAGCAAGTTAGAGGTAACTATATCAGACCTTTCTGTTGAATCAGTGAAATTTAAACTTCATTGTTGAACTTCAGTAGGAAGCAGCAAGAGGGATTCTGAATTAATAACTGTGTCTCTTGGTATACTGGTTGGATTCCTGGAACATTTCATTTGTCATAACCTTCCTCTTCTTGGTCTTTACTTTCTTCAGCTAAAAGGTGGGACTTGTTTGATATCTATTCAGTATGAACATGTATTGCAGATGAACAGTGTGAAAGCATTGCAGAGTAAAAATTTCAAATTAACTGCTCTAAAACAAGATACCACTTGCGTGTTTAGACACACACTCTCTCTCTCTCTCTCGCCTTACCTGCCACCTGAGAGCTGGTGTCATAACCCAAGGTGGGGGAGGGGATTACCATCTACCTGCTTAGCAACCTGAAGATATATAGAAGAGGTTGTCTTTTCTTAATGTTTGTTTAAGCCTCTGGAAACCTTGGTGGTAGAATGCATATTCCTGAGCTACTTTTCTGTTCTAATTAGACTAACATGTATTTTTACAGACTATGATTTAATTTAAACAGTGTTATTCAAAATATAAACTTTGTTCTCCTGTAGCCAATGAAGAATATTACCAGTTGTTGATGACTAATGAAAGCTATCCATGTGGCCTTGATGTATTGTCCTATACTGTGGAAGATGTTGAAAACATTACTACAGAATACATCATGAAGAATGCAGTGAGTATCCTTGCCCATGAACACATGTGCAAATGATTTTTTAAAAGACTGAACTGGGAGTTTCAGAAATTCATGGTTGTTAATAATCACAGATTCTATACAGTGGTACCTCAGGTTACATACGCTTCAGGTTACAGACTCCGCTAACCCAGAAACAGTGCTTCAGGTTAAGAACTTTGCTTCAGGATGAGAACAGAAATCGTGCTCTGGCGGCGCGGCAGCAGTAGGAGGCCCCATTAGCTAAAGTGGTGCTTCAGGTTAAGAACAGTTTCAGGTTAAGTACGGACCTCCGGTACGAATTAAGTACTTAACCTGAGGTACCACTGTATTTCTAAATCAAATAACAGCATACCACGTGTTACGTCACAGACAGTGTGGTGTGGTGGTTAAAGTGTTAAACCTGGTCTATGAAATGTAGGTTCAAATTCCCTCTTGCCTGTGAAGATCACTGATGACCCCAGGGCAGCCTGTCTTCTACACACAGTTTGTGTGAGGTTACATTGGGGTGAGCAATCCAGATCCCTATGCTGCTTTCAGCTTTTGGGAGGAAAGGCAGGATAACATTGTAGGAAATGAAAAATAAAATCTAGGAAACCACTGCCTTCCAAGGTAAAGCATCCATCTGTCACATTGTGAACAGAGAATGCTCTTGGTCTAGTTTCAGTGATATATGGGGGATCTCTGTGACTTTCCATCTTGCACTATTTTGCAGCCTTTTGAGTGCTTCCAGAGGAAATTCAGTAGCATTAGAAAAACACTTGGGGCTAATTAGACTCAACATTCATAATTGTGTAACCATAGTTAAAAGTCAAGAGTAAGCCATTAGAACCTATTCTTTCTAAGTAAATGGGAAGTCTGTCGCAGATAAGTGCAAAGGCAATCTGCAAGAAGAAGAGGCAAAGAAGATTGTATTTGATGACTGCTTGGAGTACCCCACACAATCTTATATGGAGTTACTCATCTGGTGTGGCATCTAAAAAAATATGCTTTAGATTACAACTGCCACATTTTTGTTAAAAAATCATTGATAAATATGCAGGTAAATACTAATACTCTTAACAAGAAAAAATGTAAACCTACTATGTCTCATTACTTTAGAATATTTGTAACTCACAAAACTTCTGTTTAACATTTTCCCTGACTAACTAGTTTTGACTTACTATGTATTGGGTGCTTTATTATGTTTTTTTAAGGATATGTTTGCTGTAGCTGTTTCTTTGGCTACTGGAAAAATTCTGTACATCTCCGATCAGGCTGCCTCTATTCTCCACTGTAAGAAAGATGTATTTAAAAATGCCAAATTTGTGGAGTTTCTGGCACCTCAGGATGTCAGTGTGTTCTACAGTTCTACTACTCCATACAGATTGCCATCCTGGACTATTTGCAATGGAGTTGGTAAGTATGTTTAAATTGTTGCCCCCCCCCCCCCCGCCACTGCTCATCTGCATTTGAGCCATTAGGATATGTCTTTGCTTAATTGCAGTTTCTTTAGTGTTTTGCTCTTTTTAATTGGCACAGTCATTTGTAGATATTAGATACAAATATTTTATATTCTGATCTGTTTTGTCTCATTTCATCTGGCTAATAGGATGATTAAGCACTGTACTTACATGCTCCAGAGAGGTCATTGTGTATGCCTTTTGCTGCAAAATCAACAAGGAGCCTTGTGGTACCTTAAAAACAATATGAAAAAATTTATTGTGGCAGAAGCTTTCATGGGGCTGAGCTTACTTCATTGAGTTGTTTGTCTGACAAGGTGGACTCTGTGTGAGGAAAGCTTTTGTTACAGTAAGTGTATTAGTTTTTAAGGTCCCAGAAGATTTTTTGTTGGTTTTTGTTCAATTCTTTGGCAAAACTAGACTTTACTTTTGATATTATTCCAGTCCCTTCACTGGAACGTCATACAGTTAATGTGAATATACTCTGTCCAGCTTTTAAAACTGTATTGTTCAGAATAGAACAACAACCTTCATGCCGTTACTTCCCAGTCTTCTGATGCCCTGAGAGATAGCAACTTTGATTAGGGAGGAGCTTCCAATTTTTAAAATATGAATTTTCTCTTATAGCTTTGAAAACCTATTTTAACAACTACATCTAGTATTAGATAAATTAGTTTGGTGCAAACACAATGTAGAGTTCTCTTAACTGCACTAAAATAACAAGAAGAAAGGCACCTTTCTGCCAGTTACTCTGTGTTTGCATTGTTTTCAGCTGAGTAATTACAGGGGACATATTTCTGACTTTCAGAGTATACACTTCTTTCTGTTACTGTAGATTATAAAGTCATTTTCATACTTTTATAGAGTCTACCACCCAGGAGTGCATGGAGGAAAAGTCTTTTTTCTGCCGCATCAGGTGAGGCAAAATTTTAAGTCAGCGTGGGGACTAACAGATGTTTTGCTTCAATCTGTTTATGTTCATTGGTATGTGGCTTAGCCGACTTACAAAGATGAATTCCAGAATCCTCACTAAAAGCTGAATAGATCTTACAGTTTAAGATGTCACCACAAAAAGCAGTTTCTAGGCTGTTGCATATTCAGTAGTGGCAAGTGAGGTGGGGCAGGTGGGTTCTATTGCTCTCCCGGCTTCCCAACACAGTGGGTTGCTTACCAAGAGAGTGACTCCACCACGTTTCTCTCCCCATAACTTACCCCTCCCCTTCTTCCCCTCGGTAAGTGACTGTAACTCCTGTGTTGGGAAACCAGGAGATCAGCAACAGAGTCCCACCTTCACCGCCTCACTGGCCACTGCTGTACGTATTGCTTCTCACATAATAAGGCCTAATGGCCCTTGCACATGCATGGTCATGGAAAACGGGGGGGGGGGGTGTGCCCTTTTTCCTTTCCTTGCACTTCCTAGAGTGTCACCTTGGAGAGTCTCTTGATTTTTCACCGGTGATTTTTCAGAGGATGCTTAGTAAGAAGGAGGGTTTAAGAGTCCCCATATGTGCATGGAAGTAGCATAGTCCAAAGCCCATCGCTTAGATTCACCTACCAAATACCTTATTCTGCTTGGGGGCTATGCAAACTATAAGAACTCAACTGTTGTTTCTTTTAATTTTTAGTGCAGGGAAAGAGGAGCATACTAGTGAGATCTGCTACCACCCATTTCGTATGACTCCATACCTTATCAAAGTACAAGATGAAGATGATCAGCTTTGTTGTGTGTTGCTTGCAGAAAAGGTCCACTCCGGTTATGAAGGTAATAATACAGCAATTATTTTGTGCTTGAAATAAAGCATCTTGTTCATACAAATGCTCTAGTTCTACAAACCTTGTCCTTCTTTTCCCTTTCAGCACCCAGAATTCCTTCTAATAAAAGGATATTTACAACTACACACACCCCAAGTTGTTTGTTCCAAGATGTAGATGAAAGGTGAACTACTAAAACTATGATATGCATGGTTGTGTATTTAGCTGTAGTATTGACAAAAATGCAAAAATGGGTAGGAAATATTGATGTGTGACTATAGTGAAATGTCCTCGGTGGGATACCTTTGCAGTTGTTTAAATAATGAGGATGTTAAAAAAAAATAATAGCTCTTAGTGAATCTAATTGTGAATTTGATCCATGTTTGACTCGTATTGCATTAGGGACAGGAGAGGTCTTTCTGATGCCCATTTTCTTGAAATGTTCTTCAAAACAGTGATGGGATGCATTTCTAGGATGACCTCTTAGCTCCTTTTTTCTTTATTTACTCATACTGAAATTGCATAACTTAATCTTATTTTGATACCTTGTTCTATGTAGGAAAAGGGGGAAGATGGTCACTATAGCAGCTTGCTGGGTAGGACAGAGCTACTATGCCATCTTCCCAGTAGGTGGGTCACTCTTGCTTACCAGGAGGGAGAAAGGTGAGGCAGCGAAAAGGTTGTTGTGGTGTAAATCTACTAGCATAGTCAATCTGGTGCTTCTGATGGTGCATTTTCACCATGCCAACCTCCCCACCACCTCACCCGCTACTGATAAGCAGCTGCAACCCACCTGCCGGGAAGTTGGCATACTGACTCCACCCCACCCAGTGAGCTGCTTCTGTTTTGTATAGTATATTCTTGTCTGCACTATAAGTCCTCTAGAATCTTGCTTTGTTTTAGGCATCAGTGTGTTGCTGTGCTGACCTCCCTGCCATCTTGCCTGCTCCCCACCCCCCGATAAGCAAGGGAGACCCTCCTGCCATGAAGCCAATGTAGTAGCTCTGCCCCACCTGGCAAACCACTTTGGTTTATCGCAGGTGACCACAACTGCTAGAGTTACTAGACTTTTCGGAGGTTGCGTGCTTCATAATTGCATCTTACGCCCTGACAATTAGCACAGAAAAGAGTGTCGTAAATATTACACAATAATATTTAGGTTCCGCTTATTGGTTTGCAGAACTAATCCTGATACAAGTCCAAACATTCTGTTTTTATTTCAACAAAGTCTGTAAATGAACTTAAGGCTGTGTTTAAATGTATTTTGCTTCATGATTATTTAACCTTTTGTTGTTGTTAGAGCGGTGCCTTTGTTGGGATACTTGCCTCAGGACTTAATTGGAACTCCTGTCTTAGTACATCTTCACCCAAGTGACAGACCTTTAATGATAGCAATTCACAAAAAAAGTAGGTGACTCCTTTTGCATACTGTGTTTTTCATGAAGGTTGGGGGCAATAAAGGATGAGGGATCCTCATATAGTTTTTGGTAACTTTTAATCAGTTTATTGTTCTTCTGATTATTAGATCATAAAAACATACACACAGTGTTTATTGTAGACTCAAGTATCATGAGCTAGATCATACAGTGGTACCTTGGTTTAAGAACATCTTAGTTTATGAACAACTTGGATTAAGAACACATACCTAGAAGTAGGTGTTTTGGTTTGTGAACTTTGCCTTGGAAGCAGAACATGTTTTCTTCCTGTTGAGTGTGTGTAAATTGAGCCCCTCGCTGCTATGGGAAAGCACGCCTTGGTTTAAGAACGGTTTAGTTTAAGAGCAGACTTCCGGAATGGATTAAGTTCGTAAACCAAGGCACCACTGTATTAAATTAGGAGTAATATGTCATCAGTGCACCCATATCTTTTGTTCTAATTTTTTTATTGTTTTAGGTTGTACATGGGTCTCCCATCCAGGTCTACATCTTCTTAGTTCTGAAACTTTTATAACATCTGGTGTTTTCACATTATTCACTGACTCTTATACACCCACAGCCCCATTTGATTCCATGTTGATGTTAAGACCACCACAAATTTCTCTACCCCACTCAGAAATAAATAAGATTAATAATTAGGGAAGCATTTTAAAATAGAGTAATGCTTAGCTGTGAATTTTCAGTAGTCTTCAGATCTCAAGCACATTTAATTTTGATACCTTTATTTAAATGTTTCAATGTGAAATCTTGGGAATTACAAATGCTTGGATCATTTTAAATGAGAAATTGTGAATATTTCTACAATAAAGCTGAAATTTGAATCAATTTTTTTTGTTACAGTTCTTCAGTGCGGTGGACAGCCATTTGATTATTCACCAATCAGGTTCTGCACCAGAAATGGTGAATACATAACTCTGGATACTAGCTGGTCCAGTTTCATCAATCCCTGGAGTCGAAAGATTTCTTTTATAATTGGAAGACACAAAGTTAGAACGTAAGTAAATAAGTGGTAATAAAAATGAAGGTTCTTGTGTCATGAATTATTTGAGATTGGTCTCTTAAATACTGAAAAGAATAATGTGGAAACCCGATTTCCACAACTACCTGAGTAGCAACAACCTATTGGAAGTGCTGCCCACCCCCCAAAAAAATTTCTTTAAGAGCTGATCTACACCTCTTCGGGAACAGATTCCATTATATAACCAGAAATTAGGGGAATGGCTTTTTAAAAGTAAATAACAGGTGCGGAGTGCCCATTCTGTATCAAGATGCTGGCAGATATAAGGGGGACTTTAACCCTTCCCCCCCACTCGAAGGCCAGACCTGATCTGAGGTGGGTGGGCTCATGTGCTATTTGCATTGAAGAAACACTTCTATTGGTGTTAATGGGCACCTTTCTTCGAGTACAAAATAGAGGACCTGATCCAGATTGGGGGACAAAGGATTAAATCCTCTATTAATGCTCCTCCCCACTTCACAACAGGGTCCAAATCCAGTTCAGGCTCCTGCACCTGTTTTTATTTTTAAAAGTTATTCATGCAGTTGCAGAATGGCAGTGTGCCAATTAAATGGTTGAAACATCTGCTGGCCCTATGATGTGGATATTTCACAACTCTGGGAAAACCTTTCTACTAACAGTTGCTGGCATTCATATTAGTAGTAGCAAGAACCACCTCCATTCAGTGTAGAACATTCATGCAATACATTATTGCTATACATTATGGCCACTGCTCAATAATGCTTTACCGGTGATAATTGGATAATATCTGACTACATTTGGGATAGTTCTGGTGTTTTTGCTTCTGTGTATTTAGTACTGCTAATTAGGGAGACGTTTGTCAAATGTGTGGAGCATGCAAAGTTCACACATAAGAAAATGGAATCTATTTGCAACCATAGTTCTGAACATAGATTTGTTGAGGGGGGAGGGTACACACAAAAATTGCTCTTTTAAATATGTGCTATAAAGTAAATGCTTTTAACAAGAAACTTATAAGTGCTGCAGATCTTTCCAATCTTGTCAAGAATTACTTCAGAATGAAGAAGTCATGTTTGGAGAGAGTAAGCCTGAATATTTTATTAGTTTAAAAGTTTGTAGATGCAATAGAAAAACAAGGGCTGATATAACTGAAACAAATGCATTTGTCATATTCTAGATATTATTAATGATTTTTACAGTGGTCCGTTAAACGAAGATGTGTTTACACCTCAGTGCGCAGAAGAAAAAATCCTTCACCCTAGCATCCAAGAAATTACAGAGCAAATATATCGGTTATTATTACAGGTACACTTTCATTACTGTGTTTTAAATCTAAATTTACCTAAACCTCTGGGGTCTCCTCTAGAAGACTGTTATAAGGTAAAATGTTCATAATTTTTTGTCCCAAAGTAATGTAGGCTTACAAAGTATTTAGATACTTGTTCGTAGAATTCTGACCTAGAAGTTAACATTGGGTTTCTTTTCTCAATTATTTAAGAAATTTCTCATTACTTCAGCCACTGCAGTATTATTCATTTCAGCAGTTCTGTTGACTGTAGGTTTATGGACAAGAAGGCTCAGGCGATACTAAAACTGGACTTCTCACCTTGAAATTAGTGGGATTACATCAACATAAACTAGAACTGGGGTTTTATGGGTATGCTGACTCAATTTTTGCCCCATTTCTGTTCTGGAGCATGGACTTACTGATAGTACTTGCATTTTCCCAGGTGTGTCATGCCACCTATGCTGCGGGTGATTTGCAAAATGACATTCATTCTCTTAACTAGAATGTTGGCTTATCCTGTTATCCTGTTTTATCATGAAAATATATCCCTGCAATCATTGTCTGCCTATACAGGAGGTTGTGTCTGTGAAGATGCAGGTTCTAGGTGCGATTCTAAAATTATTTCTTGAATATGAGGAAAAACTTAACGACTTTCTTGATAGCTTGCTTGATTCTTGAATTGCTTGGTTGATTCTTACTAGTTACAGTATGCAGAATATTTGCAGTATATAGACTCCAGCTAGTCATTTTCTTTTCTGTTGAAAATGTGTGTGTATATATTTATATTTAGCCTGTACATAACAGTGGCTCTAGTGGCTATGGAAGTTTGGGAAGCAATGGATCACATGAGCACCTAATGAGTGTGGCTTCATCCAGTGACAGTAATGGGAACAATAATGAAGATACCCAGAGGATACCCAAGCCTGTAAGATTTTCATTATATTATCTTAATAGTTTCAGTCTAATGGGAAATTGACCCTGGGGTTTTTTCTAACAGAAGTCTAATACCTTCTTCATTCACCCCAATCAACAATTACCATGTATGGCTTACTGTAAGTTTTTTCAGTAACTTGTTTGTTTGTTTTAAATCTTCACTCTAGAACTCTTCTCAAGGTATTTGTAAAGATGGACGTGAGGCCAAAAATAAAGAGCACGTCTTCGTCAATTCCAGATCAAAGCTTGAAAGTGAGAAAAAATATGCAGGTATGATAGCCAAGTTAATCTGGAATCAGATTTTGGAATAACTCCAATAGTTTAGCTTTAACCAGGAATACCTTGTCCACAATGTGTGGTCAAGTGCACACAACCCAGCCCTGTTTGTAGTTGTCATTTTGCACAAACAGCTTTGCTGTAGACTGGAAACTCTCACATGCTCATACTTAAAGCCCCCACCTATGTTCCCAGGAGTGCATTCAGCAGCTCCCTGGCTTTTGAAAGGTCCATATATAAACATTCTTGGGATATTTCTGTTACACAGCGAAATCCAGTGACCACGTGGAAAGTGCTACTCAGCCAGCAGAAAATGATGCTGTTGGAATGGCTTGTCAGAGGAGTTTGGCTGCAGAAGAACTGGCTTGGGGAGAGCAACCTGTTTATTCATATCAGCAGATCAGCTGTTTAGACAGTGTTATCAGGTGAACAACATTCCACTCCACTAAAGCAATGGCTATATGGAACTGACAACTTTATTTCTAAGAATATCAGGGTGTGTGTTTTTAACCAAGGGTTTCTGGGGTTTTTTGCTTTGACTTGTAGGTATTTGGAAAGCTGCAGTGCAGGTGATGCAGTGAAGAAATCACAGCCTTCCTCAAACGCTGCTTCACTGAATTCTGATATGCTTAGAGAGAAAAGGCATGACATTAAAACACCCACAGGTATTTACTGTTAACCGAATTTGGAATGCAATCCTATGCATGTTTATTCAGAAGTAAGTCCCACTCAGTGGTGGCTGGTTCCTGCTGGGATTGATGGGGTGGAAGGCATGGAGACCAATAGCAGGTGGCACCAGAGGCAATGACAGGCACAATCATTCCCTGACTGGTTGTAAACAAGTAAGAAGACAGGCAGGTGGGGGCTGGCTGAGGGCAGACTGAGGTTGGTGGAGCAGTGCCCCATTTGCCTAACAGACCAGCCTCCACTGCTTCCACTAATAATGCACTGTATAAAAATTTGTCAGTCAGTATCACTTGTCATGTTAAGTAGGGGTGGGAACTGTGTTTGACTCCTCAAAGCAATTTAGTTAGACCTGAGCTGTATTCTTCACTTGCCGTCACATTTATTTTGTCTTGAGAAACTTACATTTATACGTTTCTTGTTCTTTTCTTTGTGTGTGTGTATCTCTGTGTTGTTATATGTTGGTATTTGAGAAGAAAGTGTGCTGTCAAAATCCCACATAGGCCCTACGGAGTTGGAGATACCTGAGAAATCGAATGCTTCTGCTGTTGTTGGTGCTCACTTAACTTCTTTAACTTTGCCTGGCAAGCCAGAGAGCGTTGTATCTTTAACCAGTCAGTGCAGCTACAGTAGCACCATAGTTCATGTTGGAGACAAAAAAACACAGCCTGAACTAGGTACAGTACTGCTTTACAGTTTCTAAGAGGAATATAGACTTTTATAAATCAGATTTTAAGAATGACTATGTGCTCTGTTTTATGTAGAAGTGAACCACGGGAAGACAGATCATGCGAATTTGGAAGAACAAATTCTGATTAGATGAAAATGAGATCAACATTTCACTTTGTTTCCCCTAAATGTTTTTGTTTGTTTTTAGAAATAATAGAAGATGGTCCCAGTGGAACAGAACCCATGGAGAGTCAGCTTATTGCTCCACAATCTACTACTACTCAAAAGAATCAAGAAAAAGAGTCATTTAAGAAATTGGGGCTTACAAAGGAAGTCCTTGCAGTGCATACACAAAAAGAAGAGCAGAGCTTTCTGACCAAATGTAAAGAAATCAAAAGGTTCCATATTTTTCAATATAATTGCAGTTACTACTTTCAAGAAAGACCCAAAGGACAACCTGGTAACCGTGGTACGGCTCTCTTTGTTTATAGCCTCATAACACCATCTGAATGAAAGAAACCCATTGTCAGTTAGACATGTTGCAAATGTGCATTGGCAGTTCAGGGTGCTTAGTTAAGTTCAGTTTTACTATCAAACCAAATTGTAGTTGGCTGACAATCGGTTGCTCCAGAAACTCAATATGCAACCTTAGAAGTATTAAGCAGGTGGGTGTGGGATTAAACTCACATCATCAGTGATGCATAGTTTTCCCCTTCTCCGTGACTTAAAGAGGACATGATTTGCTACTGCGTGCAGAAGAATGAAGGTAATTTCTTTCTTAAACACACATGTTGGGGAGCAAGGCTCACTGGGTACATTGAGGCTTACTTCTGAGCAAGCATGCATAGGATTGTTCTGTTCTTCTAGCTTAGAGATTTGCCATAACATGTGAAACACAGGATTAATGAGATGGCAGAAGAGACATGATTTGTGTTGGGGCTCCCCACAGCTTAGAACTGGAACCTCATTTAAATACCAGTTCAGCCCTGGTAACTGTGAAGAAAAGAATGTCTCTCTAAATGTGTGCATAGTGTCTCTCGTCTGCTTATAAGCAGTAGCCAGTTTCCACGTATCTAGAATTTACAGGAAATAGCTTTTTGGTCCAAAGATGTGCTTGAGTATTGATGTCACCCTTTTTAAAAGTTAGATGCATTGTTGAATAGATTTTCTGCCTTTCTCTCCAGGTGTTCATGGACCACGACATGGCTCTGGAGTAGATCAGTCTTGGAAGAAAAATTGGAAGAACAGGAAATCTAAGCCAAAACGACAGAAGCCACACAATTCTTCAGACAGCACAACTTCTGGTACCAAACCTCCACACAGGTTTCCCCGGCTTGTCCCAAATAGCACAGCCTGGTCTCCGTCAGATACTTCTCAAGCAAGTTATCCAGGAATGCCTTTTCCTACAGTTATGTCTACATACCCACTTCCAGTTTTCCCACCAACAGGAACTGTGCCACCAGGTCCTGAAGCGCCTCTTTCTGCTTTCAGTGAATCGCAGGACTCGGGAAATCCCTGTCACTTGCCATTATCAGAGTTTCCCAACCCTCTGATGACTCCAGTGGTAGCACTTGTACTCCCCAACTACATGTATCCTCCAATGAACAATGGGATCCCTCAAGCACTTTATCCTGATCCACCTAGCTTTCCTGCTCAGCCTTCTTTCTCTTCCCAAGCAGTGTTTACAGCACAGCCTCCATTCACTGCCTCAAACACATTCCCACCTCAACCGTTTCACTATAATCCACTGGCAGGGAGTGAAAAGACCACTGTTGTAGAATCTCGAAATGAGCAATCCCGTTCATGCACTCCACAGTCTCCTGGCCCACAAGGTCAAGCCTCACCACCATTGTTCCAGTCCAGGTGCAGTTCTCCTCTGCAGTTGAACCTTCTGCAATTAGAAGAAATGCCCAAAGTGGCTGAAAGTGGCGCTGCTGGTACACTAGGAAGCCATGGAACTTTAGCTGATGGAGGGGTGACGAGCAAACCCATGAGCTCAGAGGACTGCAACAGAAAAGCATCTTCCCCTGTAAGCATTGTCTGTAACTTTCTGGGAAATATCTGTCTGGAAAATGCCAACATTTTTATCTAATTATGCACATGGAGAGCTCTTTCAATAAGCTCAATTTTTAAACAATTCCATTTTGAAACAATTTCAAATTGTGCATGTTCCTTGGGAAGATTTGTACTAATTAATATTAGATTTCTTAAATTTATGTGTTGCGCAATGTAAAGAAAATCTTGGGCATTTTACAGTACAGACAAAAATATATAATGGAAAATAATTTAAACCTTTTAAAAAACACTAATAAACAACAAACCATAATAAAACAGCCAATTATAAATGAATCTCAAGCTCTTGTTTTATCCTGTGAGCCACCCTGAGACCTGCGGATATAAGGTGGTATACAAATGTAATACATCATCATCATCATGTTGCATAATCTTAGATTAGGAACTGGAGTTATGAACAACAAAAAATACCTTTTGAATTGACAGTTTGTTTTTTGTGGTTTTGTTCTTTCATTGTTCAGGTTGGATCGCCAATGGAAATTCAAAATAGCGATGCCTTCTCTGTATCTAGTGATTTACTTGATATTTTACTCCAGGAAGATGCAAGTTCAGGCACTGGGTCTGCTTTGTCAGGAAGTGGTGTTTCAGCAGCTGCTGAGTCCTTAGGCTCAGTTTCAAATGGATGCGGCATGTCAGGCAGTGGAACAGGTAACATGTGTGCGGTTAAGAAATCGTGAGGCTATTTCAGTGAAAAATCTGTTCTCCATAATTAAAAGCACAACTTTTTTATTGTTGTTTCTGAAGGAAGTAGTGAAACAAGTCATACCAGCAAATATTTTGGGAGCATTGACTCATCAGAAAACAATCAGAAAACAAAGGAATCAGAACTGGAAGAAAATGAGCAGTTCATTAAATATGTCCTCCAGGATCCCATCTGGCGGCTGATGGCAAACACAGATGACACTGTTATGATGACTTACCAGATACCCTCCCGGTAATTCAACGTTAGTTCAGACTTGAAGCAGCTTTCACTGTGAACTGCCACTTCAAGTAGATGTATACTTGAAACAGCACTAAAAGATTTCATTTCTCAGAACTTCTTTCTGTTGCCTCTTTCCTCCAATTTAACCAAACTTAATTAACAAGTAGAAATAGAATATACAGAAATATAATAATATAGGAAAGCCATCCTCTTTACAATGAAATGAGTTAGTGTCAATTTCAAATGCCAATAATGTTTCTCATATATATATATTCCATTCATAACCATCCTTTTCTTGAAGTATTTTTTATAACATGAAAGTCCACACCAACACCTGAAATACTTGATTCTCTTTTTACATACTCAGCAATTGTAAGGAGCTGTTAATTCTTGATGATCAGTTCCATTCACCCAACATAGCTGACAATCAGTTTTCTTGTTTTTCTAAGGATATCCTTGCTTTGTTGATTTACATATACTTCCCTATGCTTTGGCATATAACAGTCTTCCAGTGGTCAAAACATGCAGAATCTGTGTTACACAAATGTAGGGGCTGACTTTTTACAGTTTAGGGTCCTGAGAGTTGTTAGGAGACTCTAAGGAGCCACAGTTGACAGAATTTCCTGGGAAAGAGGGGTTGATTGTTAAATTACTCTGGAGACTGTAGCTCTCTAATGGAAATGGGGTCTCCTAACAACTCTCAGCAGTCTTAACAAACTACAGCTCCCAGGATTCTTTTGGGGAAGCTACAACTGTTCAAGTGGTATAATAGTGCTTTAAATGTCTAGTGCAGATGTGGCCTTAGCAAATGTGCTAATGATGATCTTCTCCTAGTTGCCTCAACTTTACCTTCTCAGACAAAATGGAACTTGGCATTTGGGTGCTTGGCATAATACCTGCAATGGCAGGAAGCCTGAGCTCCAGAATAATCAACTATTTATAAAGTCTGCATGTTCGGGTAGTTGAAGACCTGAAAGGGGTTTGTTTGTATATTTTACTTCAGAAACAGAGAAACTGTTTTAGAAGACGACAAACTGAAACTGAAACAAATGCAGAAGTTCCAGCCAAAATTTACAGAGGAGCAAAAGAGAGAGCTACTTGAAGTGCATCCATGGATTCAGAAGGGTGGACTACCAGGGGCTGTTACTAATTCGGTATGTTTCAATGGTTATTTCTTCTTTCAGTATAAAAGCATTAACTTCTATTTGAGACTTAAGAGTACTTGAATCACAGAATTGGAGCATTCGGAACCATATTTGCAGTGTAACCCTAACCATGTTTTTGCAGAATCAAGTTGCATTGTATTTAACTGGGCTTACTCGCAGGTTTGTGTGCACAAGATTTCAAACATAGTATGGGAGACGCTTTTGAAATTCATGCTGTTGGGTATTTCTAGTAACGTGTCAAACTACAAGATGCCACTGAGGAAGGAAATGTGAGTTACTTTTTTTCTTGTTTTTTTGAAGGAGTGTATTTATTGTGAAGAAAATGTTAACAGCAGACTGTATGCACAAGATGAAGAAGAAATCCATAAAATGGAGCTTAATGAAATGAATGAAGCCATTGGGGGGGAATAGCTCGACTACCCTGAACCAAGTCAACAGTGAAAATGTTTAATCCATGAAGATCCATTTCGAACATGATCTGCTTTATAACTATTGCAGTACATCATTAGATCTTCAGGGTTTTTAAGTTTGTTTCTTGTGAAATGGATCTAATTTTATATAAAGCAAATGGATTTTTTGTTCTAGAAAAAAGTCATTTGTGATTAATCTCTTTGAGAGGCTGCATCCCTCAACCAGTCATTGCTGAAGAAGTATAATATCCATTATTTAAAACTATGGAGGATATACTCGGAGCCTGAATGGATACAGCAAAGAATTTCACAAAATATTGTGCCATCCTAAAAATTTCTTTCAGACTGCTTTTTTCAGTGACACATAATTTAGAAATATATGGCATATTTTCTAGTTTTGAATGAATTTCAGGTTAGCGGATAAAATCATGCATGTTTCCCAAACCTAACTTCACCCAATCCCATCAGTATTCTGATACTTACTGTTGTTAAAAGCAACTCAAATAATTTCACCTTTCTAAGATATCCAGTAATTTGTTTAGCTTCTTTAAAAAAAGGTTGTATGCATGAAAAATCCCTGGCAGCCCGCCCACCCCACACCAGTGTTGAACCATTCCTATCCTAGTTTTCAATGATCTATGATCCATGATCCAAAATTATAATAAATTATTCTTGAAATATGCATCAGTGACTTGTTTGTTAAATGTTTTAATTGATGTTTGTTCCAGCGAATTCCCATATTTTATCAGCCATCAGTAATTGTCAGTTCAGAAACAATCATGTAGAGAAGCACACAAAAAATTGCTAGTATCCAAAAAAACAAAATTACCCCTTGAAGGTTGGTGTTCTGCACCAAAGGAGCTATTTTCCCAAATGGGAGAAACTAATCTTAAGACTGATTTAGCTGGCATTATAATATTTCCATAATGAATAATAATCTGGGAGTTGCAATGATTGCATATATTTAAATAAGAGGATAAGTTAAGTGAAGGAGTCCGCCACTGAGGAAACATGGCTCAACATGACCAGAACACATTTCAGCTTTTAATTGCCCCTCCTTTTTGCCTTCTCAAACAACTGGCACTCTTTTACCTGCTGGATTACAGGCAATTTCCTCTCCACTGGCCCAGTAGTCACTTTAACTATACTACATTGACTATATATCATTAGCATTGTGGCCTCCCTCTTGTGGTCTGGAGAATGGTATAAAATCATATTAGAAAGCCATCTGTAGCTGGAGCGTTAATGTACACCTGATATCCATAACTGCATTCAGTTCATTTTCAAGCTTTTTTAGATTTATCACTTTTGTTATTTGTGCCCCTAAAGTTAACTTCCAAAGACTGAAGTGTTAGTACTGTATAGAAAATGCTGTTTGTTGCTGAATAGCAGAGCTGATTTCAGGAGTTAGTCACGGGATAAAAATCACTTTTATGTAACTAGGACTGCCTCTCCCCATTTGCACTGACCCAGACCCTGCATTTATCATTTGAGACCCTTCTTCATATGCTCTCTCTACTAGAGGTCTGGAGGGCGACAACACAAGAATGGGCCTTTTCTGTAGTAGTTCCCCAGGGAGTTTGGCATAGCACCTTCATTACACATATTTAAGCACCAGACAAAAACATTTCTCAACGTCCAGGCCTTGGGCTGATTAACATTCTATGGCCTGGGGGGATACTGCTTTGTTTTTCTTTTAATATGTAGTTCGTGTTCTCATTTTTATCTTGGGAACAGCCCTATAATCTTTGGATGAAGGGCAGTGTAAAAATTTAATAAGTAAAATAAAATAGACATAAATGTACATATGCATACTAATCTATATGTCCAAGAATCTTGTCATGCCATCCTTGATACCAACACATAATAACTGTCAGGCAAGATCTGGCCAGTGGTCCTCTGAGCCAAAGATACAGTCCGACAGCATATTGTAACCTATGCTTTAGCAAAGAGAAGTCGTCTCAGGATAATCATGGGTTCATTTCTTCCTGGGTGGCTGCTGTGGTGATGGTGGCTGTTTCCAAGCTTTCCTGCTAAGTCAGAAGCTTGTAGGCGTTTTTGAATGTGAGTCTGCCTTCCGCAATCGGCTAGCAATCAACTTTATCTGAACCAATAAATGGCACAACTTAATTGTGAGTTGTATAAAATAAGGGTGAAATCCAACGCAGCATTAGCAGGGCTTCGCCTTCCCTCGTGTACCCCAAAAAACTGCTTGGGAGGGTTGGGGAACACTCAGGAGTATATTGGAGGGGATTACAGAGGGAAAAGAAACCATAAATCTCATTGTACAAGCAGATTTCAAGAGGGCAGACATCACCGGGTACCCCAAGTATCTTGATTTTCAGCTTGCTTCTGTTGCTCGGGTGCCTCCTCATTTTTGTATTTCGGGAAAGAGGTTAATAATACTTGTTTTATCTGCAACCTTCTCTCAGAGCAACTTGTGGCATTATGTGCATGTAGCTATGAACCCTGCCTGATGTAGTTTTTCCTCATTGTAAACTAGGTGATTGAACTTATTAATGCTGCTCACACAGCAACATGTTGTCTATATCCTGTTGCACTTAAATTGGTCATTTTTAGCATAACACGAGGAGGGCCATTTTGAGGAAATGAAGCTTTATCGAATGGCATGTACTTAAATTCTGATTCTGCAGTCACTTATGCACAGGCTTTACATGTAGTTTTTAAATCACATGGAAAACTCTCAGTGCTTAAAAGTGTCAAAATTCCGAGAGTCATGTGATTAATTCCACACTCCACAGAACTTTGGGCGTGTGACTTTCTTCTTTTATAGCAGCCACCCACTGCATGGTGAAACTACTATGAGAGCTTCAAAAGCAGCCTTGTGAAATGGCATTGAGGGTATGTTTTAAAGCACTGGAGGTGGGAGTCTCACCACACCTGCCAAGTCCTCTCTGAAGCTTACTGGTGAGACAAGTGTGGTTTAGTATTTAGTATAGGACTTATGGGTGTAAATTTATTTTTGTAGACATCTGCAACATGTGTGTGTGTGGTCATTTTCACGATGATTTTGAGAGGCTGGGGAGAAAAGTTGTTAAATCCTTTAATGGGTGGTTTCATAAAGATGTCTACATCGTTTTAAAACCTATTTTATTTACAGGAATAGTACTAAAATATTTTCCTATAATTTTTTTAAATTGCAAGCCTCTCTTTTTAGGCAAGATTCTGAAACCAGATTTGTTGTAGATTATTTTAGCTTAAAAATACTTGGTCACTATGAGAGAACTTCATTACTGTGTGGGTTTTCCATCTTCAAACAATGTTTTCTGTGTACTGTGCAATATTGGTTTTTTGTCACGTGACTTATTTTTACTACGTGCTTTGTAGAAAATTGGTAAATAAAGAATTTTTATTTTTAACTGTAGTCTTTCCATAATTGCTTTGTCTGGTTAAGCTGTTCTACAGTGAATTGAGAAGACTTGTTATAAGAAATGTCTGCACCCAGATTGCAATGCTTAAAATGAAATCCTCGCCAGAATTTTGAACAATTGTCATTCTTGTCTTCCAGATGGGTATTGGTATAACTCTTGAGCCTGTCAACCATTTTATATCTTTGCTACAGCAATGATGAGGAACCTGTGGTCTTCCAGATGTTGTTGGACTCCCATCAGCACCAGCCAGCATGGTCAGTAGTCAGTGAAAACGGAAGTTGTAGGCCAGCAACATCTGGAGAACCATAGATTCCACATCCTTGTCCTACATTGTAATAAATTATTTTAATAGTCATTCTTTATAGATGGAACCTACACAGGCGTGCAGCCAATGATAGTCATACAGAGAGTACAGCAATTGAAATTAATGAGCTTGGCTCACTTAGGTCCATTAATTTCTTTGGGTCTACTATAATTTAGCTGGATACAATCCAAAATACATTGCCAATTTTAACCAATAAGAGAGTGTGCTTGTAATCTCTGAAATGCTGACAAAACCTTTTAGTGGCACAAAACCCCACACGTACACTATATAAAATAATATGCCTCACCACCTCTCCCCCCTCTTCTTCCCCAACCTTATACTGTACCCAACACTAATGTCTCACAACAAATGTAACTGATTTGTAAGAGAGATTGTACAACCTGAAAAAAGAGACAAGGCATGTACTTTTTGTAAGCCAAGAAAATCTTTAATATATTTTTTTAAACTTTTTAGTGGCCTGTAGGTGTCACTCTTCCAACACATTTAGATATCCTAAAAATCTGTTTAGAATTTTGATGAGTATTTTACAGATACAGGATTCCATTTTTCATACAATTTTGTAGTCGCACTGTATTTTCATCAGTCTGAATTCTGAAAGTATCAGTCAGTTGGAAAGCCCTGAAGATGTGCTGGTTTTGCTATTCTTATAATCTAATGGATTAACTAAATTAGCTAAAAGACCAACTCTTATCACCTCTGTTGAATCACTGGATCATGTCATTCTGGCTTCCTGTCATTCCCTGGTACTCATGTAGTCTATCCAGTAAGTTGTTTGTCTACTAGTGTAGTCTGCATTGCAGTATTTAGTGTTAGAAACAGCAGTTTGTCTCAAGTATTTAGTTTCTTGAGATCTGCAGTTCCTCAAGGATATTGACAGGATGTTGGGGGTGGTAAAAGCTACAACATGCAGATTGCCTAAACTCCGCTAACTGCAGCTAAATTATGGGCCAAAATTGTCAGTATGTATGATGGAGACTGTTTTCATCAGCCGTAAAGAAAGGGCTTGTTTGTTTCTGAAAATGCCAGTTTGGGATAAGGAATATCGTATCAATTTTTCACTGGTGTGTTCTCATTTCTGACTGACGGCCTGAGCAACTCCAGACATTCCTGAATAACAGATTTTATTTGAAAGGGTCAATCTGGCTTCCACCCTGACAGTGGAACTACCTGGTGGGTTACTTGAATCTAAAGCAGGCACAGCCCACCCATGAAGCAGGGTGAAGCCACTGCCTCGGGTGGCAAAAGTCTCAAAGGTGGTGCCCCACTGCCTCCTCTGCCAGTGGAAAAGTGGTACCAGCACCAATTTCTTGAGATATCTTGGAGCATGCAATCTTTTTGCTATATTTCTGCGAGTGGGGTGAGCAGCACTTCCCATTTTGCCTCAAGTGGCGGAAACTGGATCAGTCAGCCCTGATCTGGAGGCTGAAAAATGAATATTTCTTTGCTGATTTTGTTAGACCTTACAATGGCTTTTGATTCTGAATACCATAATATTCTTCTGCCCCACCTTCAACCTCTAGGTGTCTCTGGGAAAAGCATTCCAATAGGTTTGTTACTATATAATTCAAAGACTGGTTATTGTGGAGGCAATGTGTATTAGAATGTCAGAATGTCCATGTCTATGGGAAATATATGGGGTTCCACAGGGATTAGTATTATTATGAATGCTGCTTAATATCTGCATGAAGCCTCTCTTAACAGATAGGTGTAGCTTTGGGATTCAGCATCATGAATATATATGGATCTCTTTCCTTTATCCAGTTGGCAAGATTAATAACACCACCACCACACACTTGCATATGCTAGTGACACTTAGCAACTGTGTGCCTTTATTTGTATAAGAAATAAAACCATGCCATTTAACCAGTGCTTTTTTTCTTTAAAAAAATGTTTAGGGGTACTCATTTTGACTCAAGAAAATCACCACTTTATAGTTCAAATTGGGAAAAATAAATACAGTAAATG